CTGATTAACTAATATATCATGGCAATGAATGTCGACATAATAACCTAACATTATATTCATTTTCGTTGTTTTTACCTTTTCATATTTACTTTGTAAGCCAACGTTTGGTTTCGTCTTTATAGTACCTGACCACATTGTCAGTGACTTTGCCTTTTTCTTCACATTCACATATAAAACATTAAGGTACTCCTTTGATAAACCTTTAACAGAAAGGGAAATATTTATCAAATTTTATTCTATTTTGCATTAAAATAAACCATGATTACTGCCAACCTGTATAGTGGTAGGTCTTTTTTGGGTCATCTACCAGAGCAATAAATAAATATTTCATTAACTTTTTGGAACTCTTTAGCATCTCATCTGAATAGTCTTTTATGTCCAAAGCTACAACATTTGTCTATTAAAGCATAAATATAAATTTGTGAATAAATTCATTGTTTACAAAACTACTCTACTATCATCTACACTTGCACCAGCTGTCTAGCCTGTCTATACAATACGAAATATGAACTGATCTATACACTCTGCTATAAACACATACTACAGTATGTATATAAATAATAAATATTACTGTTATGAACAGATGCATTTTGCAAAATGTTAATTTTAGCAAATAACCAGAATTGATATAAATGGCAATTGCCTCTACAATCAGCTTGAATTAACTCTTTAGACCATCTTAAATATACATATATGCTATACCTGCACGCTCTCATCCTTTTTTATAGAGCCAATGTCATTTTGTTCTGAACTTTCTGTCATGTCTTCTCCCAATAACAACAAACTTTCGGATGCTACTATTTCCTCCTTTGTCGTTTCCAACTTTGAGTCATATGAGTCCGAATCCAATAGATCTAACATCTCTGACGCTTCTGCATTTCCCTCGACTTTTGTAGCCTTTCTTGCTGACACATCTATGCCTAAACGCTGCTTGGGAGCTTTGCGTTTACGATGAAGCCTTTCAACCTACAATATATAAATATGTATAAACTCGTTGCTCGGAAACGCAAGTTAAATATTACAATAAAACACGCAAATACATTCGACAAACCTTTTCTTTGCTTTTTATAGCTGATATGGGATCAGGATGTTCAAGAGTTGGCCCATTTTCACCGACAAAGTGCAAGCTACATATGTAGCTGTCTTTCTTGCACACGAATGAGTCTCCGCGATGACACGCAATAATCCATCGCTCCCTTCTTTCTGCCGTTTCTTTCCAGCGTTTTGGAGCCGGAAAACGATAGAAAATAACAGGATCGCCATTCTTGTTTTTTGTTTGCAAATGTAGGAACCGAGAATCATTTCTGCAAGTTCCCCAAGCGCATCGCTTTACCATGTTTCCTATAGTATTTATACAAGCATGTCCCGCAAAGTGTCCGCATTTCGCGATTTTTGACCACGTGACACTACACGTGTTTCTAGGTCTGAAGTCGCAGATTAAATTAAACCTGCCCCGAATCTCAAAATTTCATTATTTTGTTCCCTTGCCCCTACAATCTATATTTATACCTTTTGTGCCCTTGAGATCTTTAAAAAAAATGCCTTACTCTGCAGTATGGCATGTAACCTTGTTGCCATATTTATTTTCGGACTTCAGGCTTCAATAAATTTCTACTCTAATACCTGACAGAGATGGGGGCCATATGTATGAACAATAAGAAATGATTTCTTCATCTATTATTTACCCCTTACCTTTCACCCAATTTTAAAATTAAATTTACTGAATGATTTTGAAGTTTTCTAGATTATTGAAAAGAACTTTATGGGTACAAGAAATGGGGCAAAAACAGTTGAATTAAGCAAGATGCAAGTAACAATGAACAAGACCGGGTCACTGGATGGTATTTCAGCACACTGGTGGACATGCAACCTAATACCTGCAACCTGTGTCACATTTATATATATAGTTTTACACTGTACTGGAAAAATAATGTCAAGGAACTTGTAGAGATTCAGAATGCACACTTCATGGTTTATTCAATCACCAGCATGCATGAATCATTTTATGTTATGAATATTTTTTTAAAATTATTCTCACTTTATAGATAAAATTATATCAATTTTTAATATCATAAATGAATATATAGTAGCTTTTGATTAAACAAGTTATAATAATATATCAGCAAATAATGACTGGTCTCTCTGAAATCCATATAGAAAGGTTCAAATCTGACTTCCACTACCACTATTTGATCTGGCAGTTGCATCCGATTGTTTGATTGGATAAATGAAATTTATCTGGTTAGTTAATGGTAGCAATAGCAGCAGTGGAAATCAAATCTGGTCTCTCTATTATTTTTTGAAGATTTGCTCTAGTCACATCAATTCAGGGTTGCCCATGCAACTTGGTTAGCACAGCTAGCTTTCAAGTTAGAAGTCCAATTCTTAGGATTCTGCAAATTAATTCTAGAAAACTGGCTTTGGTTTGGGCTAAGCAAAAATCATCACACTGTTTATCATGCTGATTTGGTTGTTTAACAGTTAAAGTCCAGGCTGCAGGTTTTTTTTGTCCTGCATATGGCAGATGGGACAGTCTGGTTTTCAAGTCTTTATGTGGGGAATTAATATTAATCAGGACTGGCTTCTGAGTGAAGGTCTTGCCTGCTTTATGTGAGAGCAGGCTCTATGTGAGATTCCAATTGCTGCACAGCATGATCTCAGTGCTCTTCCTCTGAAACAATGCTTGGTTGCAATATCATCCAGCAAGTGCAAAAATGTACCACCACGGTCAAGGATCATTTGGCATGTTCATCGACTATGTTAACCCATTGAGTGGCGCCATGCACTGTCCCCTGACAAGTAAAATTGTCTGGTGTTAGACAGAGTAAACTAACAAAGTAGGGCACATCTGGATGCATTGGGCCATTCCATTTAATGTATACACCCCCCTATGGACGAGTTCAATAAAATTTGAACCCCTAAGAAAAAAAGATCAAAGTGCTGAAACCCCCCCCAAAAAAATTTTTGCCTTATCCCTCAGAAAAAGTGCAAAGATCAAAGGATGCCGATGCACACAACCCCTCAGAAACGGCTTTTTCAACCCCCTCAGAAATTCTAGTCCATCGGGGGGGTGGGGGGAGGGTGTATATTAAATGGATGGCCCATTGCCACTTAAAGGGTTAAAAACGTAAATACCACAGCACAACACTTGTACATATACATATACAAGTAATACAACAGCAATCCTTTTATATATTTAATAGTCATATTTACATATTGGTGAAATATCAATGTCCATATATAGGGATGTCCATTGTCCATGAACTTGTCCCTAGTTTGAAGCTAATGTATTCATATCTTTTGTATAAGTTGTCCCTCTACAAACCAACTATTAGTTATTATACAAGAGTTGAATTTGCATTCATTTGCTTCGCAATTCGCAACAAACTGAACAAAGTACTATTCCATAAACCTGTGCAATGATCGAGCGTCTTTGGCGACATATCCGTATCTTTTAAACGTCTCATACGAACAAGTCTCACTGAGTTTTTTCTACAGAAAGTATTGATCCATTTGATCGATCGCCGTACTTTGAGAGAAGCTTCAAGTGCAAAATCAACAAGAAGATTGAAGAATTTCGGAGATAAAAACTGTTTGTCTTCGAATTTCACCTATTCACCCCCCGGTTGAAAAAAGTAACAATTACGTAATGTTGGAGTCACGTGACCAGCGTTTACCAGGCTATGTCGCCGCCTTCAATTCGCGACTAGCCCTGGGTACGAGGTTGCCCTACGTCACGTTAGATTTGGCCGCTGAGCGATGCATCGCATGCAGATTGCGGGCGCTCGCATCAGTGCACTGATGCAAATTGCAAAATCAAATCTACTGTGACGTATTAACGAGGCATTCGATTCAAGACATGGCGGCAAGGATATTTGATCAATTTGGATATGCATGAAACACTATATGCAAATGGCAAATAATGCGAAGAGAAATCCCTCGAAATTGACGGAGAACATATAATTTACAGTCGAACCAATTACAAGTGGAAGAATGGAAGGGATCTTATGCCCACGATGTGAAACTCGATCGAACTGAGGGCTCTAATTAAGTAAGTTAAATTTCTCTATATTTTTACAAATGGTAGTAAATTACTAAATTGCTCAGTTCAGGAAGTGTGTAAAGTGGAAAATGGGGTCCTGCACAATTAATATAGATTTGTATGTAATAACAAAATAATTACAGTTTGTGTCTATTACTGTTGTTGCTCTATATTCCAGAAAGACCAGAAAGATGTTAGTGGTTGGGGGGAGGGGAGGGGGTAGAGTTTGACATTTTACAGAGGTTTACTTGTCTGGAGCCAAACTAGCCCCAATACGAACTTGACAGCTTGCTTTACTGAGGCAAATTTCATCTCTGTTTACATGGGATTATATCCTGTGCCCAGACCTTCATTTTTCTCACAGCTGGCGGGCAAAAAAAAATGAAGACCTGATACACATGTTATTATGTTTGTGTCCTACAACTGCCTTTATTGTTGTAACTCCTATTTGCTATTTCTAGCATGAGTATTCATGCCATATTTAATGTATTGTTTTGATAATTGGTTAATGCTATAATTAAATAATGATATATTTAGTGATTGTAACTATATTTAGCTTGTTGTTATTATGTGAAATTGACATTTCTTCTGGCACATTTTGATTGGATACCAATAATAAAACTATAGTGTGGGTGGAAAGTAACTCTGAATGGATCAAGACTTGCATCAGTCTCTGTATGTAATTACAGAGCATAATGGCAGGTTAATGAGATTTCTAATAGTAATTAATGCAACATTGGTTAGAAGACTAAGGGGGAGTTTACATGAAAGGTAATTGTTTCAAGTTGCAACTTCCAGTGGTATCTCCTGTTTCATTTCATTTTCATTTTATATGGAAATGAGCTGGCATGCCTTGTGACAGGGTCTTTCTTTGCATTGCCTGAGTTATTGGGCAATTACTATACACTAGCTGGATATTTTGCAAACAAAGATGATTACCTGGGTTTGCTCGCCTACCATAGTTGAGTGTTTATATGCTTTGTCTGTGCAAATATAATTTGATATAAGCTGTATATATCATATGACATTCTCCTGACAGATTTAAACTTAGAATCAATGATAAAATGATGGACGGTATAAATACTGTGTATACTGTAACTGGTGTATACAGGTTATAATTATGAAATCTGCTCACAAAAGTGGGATAGTTTGGAAAATATATTTAATTAAATTATATATTTGTAATGCTAATTATCCCAGTATTATGTTTTGGATAGCCAGCATGCCACCCTGAGGATTACAATTATCATTGATAAGTGTATGGATTATTTGACAAGATAATACAGGGAAAATTAAATATTCCTCAATACTACTGTGCAGCCTTTCTTAAAGGAGTACTGTATTAATATTAGTTGAAAGGCAGGCAAAAGGGGACAGATAGAAGACATATGATTAAATTATGTCATGTTTATCATTGTTTAAAAAACAGTTGGTATTGGTTTATTTAACAAACAATTTCCAATTAAGATAGCTTCATTAAATTAATTTGCACACAGTCTCTATCGATTTAAAACGTGTGTGTACCTAGTTATATATTTATATAATTTTAAACCCAGTGTTTGTTGTGTGTTAGTTTACTGGTTTCCTCGCCACAAGGCAATATTCTCAGTATTCAGAGTGTGGGCTATTCACCATGCAGTTCATCTGAAAGGCAGCTAGCCTAGGGGCAAATGAAATTGACCAGCTGATGCCAACCACACTGTCCATGCAGTGTAAGATTAGCAGCATATATTTACCCAGAGTTGGATATATTTACCCAGTAAAGCACAAAATACCTTTAATCTTTATGCACCATATGTTATTTTACTTTAAATTCTAATGCTACAAGATTTTACTCAATGGAACATTGGAAATTAATAGGGGAAGGTGGTTCATAAACAACATAATAACACTGTCTTCTGAGTCCAGCAATGCAACTAGTGGAGCACACTGTATACACCTTTGTTACACAGTATGTGTGTATTTGCGTTGTCGTGATTTTCTGCCGAAATGTTTTTCAATAGAAAAGTTAAGGCTACAAGAAGCACAGTACTGAGTATTTTTTAATAGAGACTTACACTTGTACAAGCAATTTTTTTTTTATGTGGAGAAATTATGTTTTTTTTGCGTTATAGGTTCAAGTTTTTTACGTGTTTTTCCAAAAATGCAGCAAAATATTTGTGACTCTGATATAGGAATTGCAACAAAAGAGTTCGCTCAGAACGCAAGAAATCGCATTTCCGAGGTCCTAGATTTCAAAATTTCCCGGGGGAGGATACCCACGGACCCCCTACAAATGCGAGGTCTTATGTATGCATCAGTCAGCTCAGGAGCTGGATCCGCCCCTGACCAAATCCATTCAATATCTCCCAAAACTATTTATAAATAACTGTCTTTTACCACGTGTTGAACTTGGTAAATCGTTTCGCTACTTAGATCGCTATTTTGATTTCAACATGTCCGACGAGGATCACAAATCTTAAGTATATGACACACTTACTAATATCCTGAATGAAATTGATGATCTACCATTACATCCGAAAAACAAAATTCTCTTATACAGTCGTTATGTGCTTTAAATTCCAAAATCTCTTGGCACTTCACTGTTTCTGACATAGGCAAAACCTGGGTTAACGATAAACTAGATAGAGGCCTACTTTGGGGTCCAAGGTCGCCTAATGTCGCCTAATTTCGCCTAATGTCGCCTAATTTCGCCTAATGTCGCCTAATTTCGCCAACTTTCGCCCATGTCCACCCAATTTTTGAACTTTGCCTAACAGTCTATTCGCTTCATGTCGCCTAATGTTGCATAATCTCGCACAAGCATGCCCAATTTTGCACTTTGAGTTTGTCGTCCATACTAGTCTATTCCTTATTTATTTGTTAGTTTCCTGCATGTTTTTTTCATAAATACATGTACACAGACACCAAGGGCATGTGCTGTTAGGGCACCATCTCTCACCAGTATTAGGCCTACTCTGGGGCGGTAAATCGCCTTAAATCGCCCTAAATCGCCTAAAATCGCACTAAAGCGCGGGTTAAAATTGTCGAATTTCTCCTAAATCGCCTAAAATCGCCTAAGATCACTTAAAATCGCCAACATGCATTCTGCTTGATACATTCAGTCCATGTACTCAAGTTTATCAATTGCTGCTATTTTATGGGCAAATCATGTAATCCAGGTGCTTTGCAATGAAAGTAATGCAACATGAATTAGCAATCAAATAAGTGGATTAGGCTGACAATATTTGGTCACTCAATAGGAACCGGTCATTGACAAAAACAGAGCCTTTTCTGCTTTATGCAGACTTTACAATAATTAGGTAATTCTGGGATCTGAAAGACCCATAGATCCGATACACTGCAAGCAACAAAATCGAGCTAGTTACCAGAATGAGCTAATTTCATTATTGGTGTAAATGGAGGCTGGGCTACAATTTATATGGACTATGGAGGCTGGGCTACAAATCAATCTATAATCTAGCTACATTGCTGTTGAGCCTGGTTCACATGTCTGCGATATGCCTGCGACGTCATTGTTTACAGCTGTTGATGCATTCTTTTGTGAATTATTTGGTTGAACTGCTAAGACAATAGCCCGCCAACACATCGCAGACATATGTGAACCAGGCTTTAATTAGAACAACAGTAGGAAACTACGAAAGTCAATGAGTACGAGTGTTGATTTATATAATAAAGTCATCGTGTATTTGTGCACTGTTGCATGTAAGATCGAGCACTGCATTGTATACAATGGTTGTACTTCGACATGTGCATGGTTATACTCTAGCTCCTAGTTATAATTATAGTGGCTATCAAACGAAAAATATACGTGAGGTTTTATATATGAGCGATTTGCAACTCTCGTCTATTAAATTTTCCAGACCTGTATATACAATAAACAGTAAAACAATGACTACATCTTACATACCATACAATAGATCTGTTGGTGTTGTTTGTTTGCAGAACCTAAAACCACGATGCAGTGCGCCATTTGTTTAACATTTAATGCGCGAATCAAATCGAAACCTTGACATCCCCCCCCGGGCATACCTGGGGAATTTGCTTGTTTAGTATTTTAAGAAGGCGGGAATTTGACCTTTTTTCCTAGTGGAAGGTGGGGAATTTGAAGGGGGTCGGGAATTTGAATTTTTCTTTTAAACACGTGTGCAGAATCCAAAATGGCGTCAATGATTAATGGATGAGTTCAAGGTCTTCAAGTGCAAAGGAATTAACTTTGTCCTTGGTTGGCTACAAGAAAACGGCTTTGAACGATTGAAGAGAGTTTTTGAAGGAAAGAAAAACTTTGAAATTCCAAAATTGCGAAATGCTGTAGCTTCCAATTCGTACATGGGGTGGGGCATTTGAACTCCAATTTTTCCCAATACGTGGTGTATTTGAACGGGAATTACAAATATATGTAGGGAATTTGACCTGACCAAAACGTCAAAATCCAAATTCCCGGGGGTATGCCCGGGGGGGGATGTCAAAGTTTCGATTTGATTCGCGCATAACACTGTACTATTTTGGTTTTAATTTTAAAATAATTTAGAATTCCTACCATTTATATACGATATACTTCATGTAATTTAAACATTACGGCATTACGCGGACAGTTTCCGAATGCGTGACGATACTGTTTCTGGATATGGCACTGGGATATCATATGATGTAGATATCAAACTATTTATAAATATGTTTGTAGCATGATGAAAGCAAGATTGAAACAGTTTAAATAAAATGCAAGCTAAATAAAGAAGTTTTGACATGATACAAAACAAGACAATTTCACTTACAAGGGTGACAAGGTAAATTATGGGATTATAGCCTATTCAGTTAATATACTGCATAAATACATTGTGTGTTTCTAACTTTCTATCCCCTACCCCTTGTGATTTTTTTGGAAATCAAATATTTATTATATTTTGCAATTTTAACTCGATATGTGTAGTGCATGCCCCTTAAGTAGAGTATATTAACTGTTTACAATATTTGTGGTGTATATAATGTAGCTATGCAGGGTGTTAGCCAGAAGAAAAAAATTTTGTCCGTTAAACGTAAATTGGGATAGTTTTAACTGGACTTAGCTGAATATTTTCCCCAAAATTCTTGGCGAGCGCGAGGGGGGGGTCATCAAAAAAATTTTTCAGGAGATATCAAAGAAATATTCCGTGATTTCCGCCAAATCAGAAAAATTTTTCCCAGAATATTGAAATTTTTAGGTTTTGACCAATTTCACACTGATTTTTGCCCGACCGTTAAAATTTTGGGGGACACATGCTAATTTTCCAGTAGACCCAGTTGGGAAAGCCCTCAATTGGGAAGAGTCCGTCAAACGGACAGCATATGGGCTAGCTAACACCCTGCTATGACCCCCAAGATGAACCCCAATGGCTTCTAAATAGAGAATGGGTGAAAAGTTCATGAATATTGAGCTTTATATGTGAATCAGGTTAAATACAATAGTTAACCTAGCTTTATGTAAAATGCACATACATGTCCTAATAATTGTATTTTGCTTCATACAATGCATATGTGTGTGGAAACATTACATTATTATTCAGCTCACTCCCCACATTGGGGCTTTTCAGTGATCGATTACATCAAGTACTATGATTACTTATGTTAGCCTAGACTATTTATCTTTACAACAATGAGGATATGATATTACTTTCCTAACTGTGTTTATCCTAACCCACCCTGCCAATTTTGCCCTGTGGGAGGAAACCGGAGCAAAATATAGAATTCAATTCCTTTGAAAACACCTAAATTGCAATCCCTAAAATTTAAAAATTTTTCTTAAATCGCCTAAAATCGCACTAAATCGCGGTGCTTGAAAGTCCCAGTTTTTCCTTAAATCGCCTAAAATCGCCCAAAATCGCATTATATCGCAGCGATTTAAGGCGATTTACCGCCCCAGAGTAGGCCTAGTATTAATGAGGCTTGGTTATTTAGCGTTTATATGTATATGAATTACAACACATTATTCCAATGAGAAATAATTATTACCTAAATTATGTTGTTAAGGCAGCCTATATATATATATATATATATATATATATATATATATATATATATATATATATATATATATATATATATATATATATATATATATATATAGTTTTTCGTTTTACCTCAAAAAACCACAACAGTCTGTTTCATCCGTATAGGAATCATCAGGAATATATATATATATATATTATATAGACTATAAATAAAGAAAGTCATCTATAGTATGTTCAAAATGGGCTATTCCATTTAATATCCGTACCCCCCTGTCGAGGATACATGTTTTTCATTGTCATACCCCTGAAGAATTCCAAACTCAAACTGTTTACCCCTGAAGAATTCACTCCTGAAGAATTCCAAGCTCAAAACCTTTTACCCCTGAAGAATTCCAAAATTCCAAGCTCAAAACCCTTTACCCCTGAAGAATTCCAAGCTCAAAACCATTTACCCCAGAAGAATTCCAAACTCAAAACACTTTACCCCTGAAGAATTCCAAGCTCAAAACCCTTTACCCCTGAAGAATTCCAGGGATCCTCGACAGGGGGGGGGTACGGATATTAAATGGAATAGCCCAATACGACTTTGTAGTTTGTAAAATAAAAGTACTTACTTTTCGACGAAGCTACGATGATCGACATCTCATAATTAGGTATCATCGCAAAAGATACAGAGCAATGAACGCACCACAGAAAGATCTACGGTGCAGGTTGTTATGAAATGTCGCCATTCGCCAAGGCCCGCCATAATAATTATTATGCTTCCTTACACGAAGTAGTACAAGTTAGAAGCTAAACCATTAAATTAGACGTACCGTGGTATTGCGGGCTCAAATCCCAGCCGAACAAGAACAGGTCTCTGAGGTTTTGGATAAAAGGAATTTATAATAAATTATTTATTAGTTCAGTTAAAGTAAAGGAACTGTCATCTAATTTTAGTAAAGTAAGTCAGTATAGTTATACAAATGTATATGGATTAAACTTTTTTCTATCTGTTTGCTTTGAAAGTAAGTTCCATTTTTTATTGAAACTATAAGATTTATAGTTATCACTATTTGAGATATTTGTTTGCCAGTTTGGTGGGTTAGATTTCAAGCATGGTTATGGTGGTACATGATTTACATTGTACACATTTATGATAGCTAGCTAGCTAGCTGACAATTTATTTACCTTAAAGGACATTGGCAACGAAAATTTTTATTGGCTATTTCAATCCTACTTGACAACCTAACTATGAAAATATTATCATTTCCTTCTCGAACATTTTACTCTAGGAGTAAAATGCATGCAAACTTTGTGTGTCGCCGCCATCTTGGAAAAAATGACCTTCGAAGGTCAACGAATTTTGTGACGTCATTAGATGGGTAGCACCAAAACTACAAGTGAGAATTCTATTGCGTGCGTGTCGTGTTAGCCAAAAATATGTCGTTTTGAGCGTTATACTGGCCAATACTTTTCGCAATCAAACAAGAGAACCTACACTATCAGATAAAAACATATCGAGCGACTGGGAAAGCAAGGAATGGCGCAATTTACAATACAGGTAATTGATCATAAAATATTGCATTATTTATTGCATTACATACTGCGTTTATTTAACACGGACTAGGACTGATATACTATCAGAAATAGTGTTACAAATAAGGAACATACTTGGTAAAACGTTTCTGCCCTTCGTTTAGGCTCAAAGTGCACTACGCGTGGTAATACTCGGTATTGTTTTATAGTCATGAAATTGTGTTTACCCATCTAATGACGTCAGATAATGTATGCTGTGGCACAAGTGTTTATTTTCAAAATGGCGGACTACTGTTGAACTTTTTATTACATTTTCTCAACAACTAAATGCGACAAACCGGCCAAAATATAAAATTAAGTATTCCGTAAGCATACCTAATAGATATAAGCAATAAAAATTTTGGTTGCCAATGTCCTTTAAATGCCAATTCTTTCACTTCCATCACTGCATACCACAGTCCATAAACAGGTTTTAAAACTCTATGAGGTGTTTACACCAGTCAATTTAATAAGAAGTCAGAGTTCCATGATACTGTAAATGTACCATGCACTGGGCATGTATGTGTACTACGGTATAAACTTTGAGTAAATTGTCAGGCTAGCAGTTATGCATGAGTCAATTCCTGGAGTAACCATCCCCCCCCCGGGACACCCCTGGGAATTTGCCAGATAGACAGTTCACGGGGGTCGGCCGTGCATTAGTCTTCAAGTTGTGTCCCGGCACCCGGGCATTTACACTATCATAACCAATCAAACCAAATGCCCGGGTGTGTTCCCGGGGGGGGGGATGGTTACTCCTGGAATTGACTCATGCATTAGAGAAATGTTCCTTGTTATTTTTGCTATTTGTAATAAACTAATTGTGTTCTTTGCCACAGGAACCAATTTTTGATAACTAAATTATATTTTGATATTTACTGTTGTATTTTCTATGTAGATGCATAATTTGTGAATTATAATATTTGACGTTATCTGGATATTACTGTTCAGTTTTGTCCAATGTCGCCCAATGTCGCTCAATGTCGCCCAGTTTCGCCCAGCGACGCACACTACTTTTCTTTGAAAATTGCCAATGTCGCCTAATGTCGCACAATGTTGCACATAATAACGGCGACCTTGGCCCCCAAAGTAGGCCTAGATAGTATCGCGTCCACGTATATCCGAAATTGGCTTGAACTTCCTATTTCTGCAACCCTTAGTAACGTCCTACTTCCCCACAATAAATTTGGGTTAAATATAATTCTACCTTCAACCAAATTCCTTCAATGCCAAACTGCTTCTCGGAAAGCCCTAAAGTCGTCGCCAAATGAAGCGATCAATAACCTTTGGAAGGGTACTAGCAATCACAAAAATGTACAATATGACAAATACAAAAACACCAAGGACGTATTAATTAAACACCATCTGGAAACAACATGAAGACAAGCTTCAACACCACCTCATTTTACAATGCTCATTTTTCTCCAATATCATTAAACATTCTACACTCTTATTCAACTCTATATGGTCCTCCGTTCAGAGTAAACTTCCCAAGAATATATTTAACTTCACTATCCAATATATAAATAACACTCTTCCGACTCGCAAAAACCTTCTGAAATGGGGAATATCACCAACATCCGAATGTTCGTTTTGTTTGAATCCAGAATCACTTCTTCACGTCGTCGCTGGATGCAAGACCTACCTAAATGAAGGACGTTTCACGTGGCGTCATGATTCGATGCTTAACTTCATAACATCCATACTTAAGTCTGTGAACCATTGTGAACCTGGCTATATCAGTCCATCTGTTCTCACCGGAGATGAATTGCGCCCTGATCTTTTGATAACACTTGAAAACAAATGTATTTATATACTCGAACTTACCGTCGGATTTAAATCTAATCTCCTCCGTCACTAATGCAACTCGAAAAAGACAAAAATATCAATTTATCGATTAGCTCATTAGGAGTTTTCAGCAACCCGTCGCTAGATTTCACCGAAATGCTGAAGGATCTAAAGTTTGATGAATAATGTAGAAAGTACTATGTTCGGAAAATTATTAACATATGTATCAGGTCCTCGTATTATATATTCTGTAAGCGTAACAAAGAATGGGATAACCCACAACTAATGTCATACTAATATTGTTATTATGTAGAGTGTTAATTCAAGTAGACACTGGTAAACAACCTGTAAAGAGAGGTTTATCATTGTAGTTTGTATATAAATATTATAGAAAGTAATAAAGTTTCCATTATTATTATTATTATTATTATTAAACACTTTGTATGTTCCCCAAAGGGCTTTTCAGTATACAATTACAATATGCAGTTTAAAATAAAACTATACTATACTATTCAAAATATAAGTTACGATGTAATATATGAACAACGAGAGCGAGTGTTTCACCGGGATATCCAAACACGAGAAAACAATGTATGAGAACACGAGCGCGAAGCGCGAGTGTTTTCATACATTGTTTTCGAGTGTTTGGATATCCCGGTGAGACACGAGCTCGAGTTGTTTATATGGCTTCTCAAATGAATCGAGACGTAACAGAATGTTTTCGTTTGCTGATTTGAATAGAATTCTTAACCAAGCATAACGTAATTAGGAATTCTATTCAAGTAATTTTGCATGCGTAATTAAGATATTTGATGAAAACACCAGTGACTTTCATCAAGTATCCAAATGGCATCTTGTGATCAAATAGGTGATTATCATTGGCTGAATTACTCATGAATTATGAATGAATTTGAGAATGTCTATTAAAACCTTCATATATATGATACTAAGAATTTAAAAGGCGTTCTTTTAGTTTTTTCTTAAAAACCTTGATTTTTGGAATCTCTTTCAGTTCATCATCAATATCGTTCCATATCTTAACTGCGCGATAATGAAATGTTCTTTCCCTGCAGTAGTTTTATAGCTTGCAATATTTAAACAGTAGTTATTTCTAGTCTGGCAGTTATGAATATCAGATCGCTTTGTGAATTTATTTGCACGGTAACTTGGCGCAAGGTTGTTCAGACATTTATAAGCTATTATCGTGTCTTTGTAAATAAGTAAGTTTTCAATAGATAGCCAGTTAAGTTATTGGAGACCTGGTGTTACATGGTCAAACTTTTTAATACTCGTGATGATTCGGCATGCGAATCTATTTAGATTTTTCGATGAGGTATTATCCCACACCGAAGAACTATATCACAACTTGTTAATCACCAAAGCTTCAATAAGTAATATTAAAGTTTTTTTATCAAAGCTCTCCTTTACTCGACAAATTTGACATAATTTGTTTATGCACGTTGACGACAGTTTAGAAATAATAGAATAGAAAGAAAGAGAGAGTAACTGCACCAATAAGTATATCCACTTTGTTCATGGACAGACACTAGGTGTAGGGAGTGCCCCCCAAATAATTTCTGAAAGAACTTTGATAGCGTAATGTAGCCTCATTTGCAGGCAACCTTGTTCTACCCGCTTTGGCCCTTTGTTGGCTTTGTATCGTACCACTGCCCTAGTTCCAAAATTTGCTATCTGTATCGTTCCCCTCCCTGCTTAATTTCGATTCCCAATTTTTATTTCTATAGGAAGTAGTAACAGTAACAGTGACAGTAACAGTAACAGTAACAGTAACAGTAACAGTAACAGTAACAATAACAGCAACAGTAACAGTAACAGTAACAGTAACAGTAACCGTAACAGTAACAGTAACAAATTACCTTATTAACATGTCTTTACATACAATTATTGCTTATTATAAAGTATTGGTATAAATATTTACAAATACAAACGGTTTTGTGGTAGTATGACATACTGTCCATATCGAGTAATACAAGAAATACAAATGAAGTTATTGATATAAAGGAAGACTTACTTTACAGATGAGAGTACCCTATTTACAGCGTATAATTGAAGAAGTTTGGGTTAGTTAAATAACCTGTTGACTGTCAGCATTCATGGTTTCAAGGCATTTAGATCTCTTCTCAAAACAGAAAGAGATAAATTTCGATAATTTTATCACAGTTTCATTATCAGTTGATTTCATTATCTCAACTGGTAAACTGGTTAAAAGTTGAGTTTCTGTAAGGGCAAACACATCACATTTGGACAAGACTGAGTCATTACATAGGTCATGACTGTGTTTTTTAAGTGATCTAATATTTAAAAGACAAATTGAGACAGTTTCTATGTCACATAAATCTGTTGTAATATGCGGGTGGAGACTCGAAGTTTCACGCAATCTCTCGTATTCTTCCTGGACTTTAGGATTTGCTCGAATATGTTTACTTTCAAGTGTTCCTAAAATATGTAGACCATTTAAGGACGTTGCTCGACTAAGTGCTACATATACCTGACCATAGTTAAAATACCTTTGCTTTTTTAAATCAAAACTGACGACAATGTTATCTAGAGTTAATTCTTGTACTTTATGAACAGTGCATGCCCATGCGAGAGTTAGAGGAAATTGTAATCTTTGCATTTTCAGGAGATGATGGTTTTCCTTGTACGTGTCTGACTTTCATTCTCGCCAAAACAGGTTTGATAGGAACAACATTGTTTTCTCTTGCAAAACTACTGGACGAATTTCGTATAGCAGATACTCCAGCGTTACTGTCATCAAATTTAACAAAAATTGTGGAGAGTTTATTACTAACATTGTCACCAGAAACTTTTATTACTGTACCTAACTGGCCATTAATAAGTCGATCGCTAATATCCACATTGGTTGTGAGCATAACTCTTGCATTTTCTTTGATCAGGATTTTAGTGTCAAGCCCTCCAGTTTCGGATCTTCCTTTAGACAACACTCTATCGATATCCTGTTTTCTAACATGCGGTGGGAATTGATCTAAAGCTTCTAAAACGTACTGTGGTGATTGAATTTGTTGTAGCCGATCAATATTGTACTCATCTACTAGTGAATTTTCTGCAAAGATATGCAATGCATCGAATGGATAATTTTCATCATCCGGAGATATTGTACTAGATTGAATACACTTGATATCATCGTCTGTATGTGAAGAGCTGCGAACTCTATTTAATAGTTGAGTGAAGGCGAGGTCATCTTTTTGTCTCATGATCTGTGTTAGTTCTGCCATTTTAAAGACATGCCAGGGTTGGTGTAGATTGAACGTATCATTCTTATAATTTGAAAATGTTGTTGCGCTTCGAATTGGTGGTAGTTGAAAGAAATCTCCAAAAACAAGTAGACTGATTCCTGCAAAAAGTTCACTATTAGGTGTGACAAATATTTCTTTCAATCTCTGGTGAATATACAGCAGACCCATGTTTGAGACCATTGATATTTCATCAATTATGATTAGTTTCAATTCAGCCAAAGACAATCTCATTTGTGTTATTCTCTGGTCAGACATTGCAGGTACATTATTCCCACATTCTCTTGGAATTGCTAGAGCAGTGTTTTACGGTTGTTCCGTTGATATTTATGGCAGATACACCAGTTGGAGCCATTAGCAATACAGAAAGTAATTCAGGATTCATTGGAGCATGTCTAAATGTTTTTGTAACAGTATGATATATAGCTTTAATTACGTGTGATTTCCCTGCACCTCCACTAACAAAAATATTTATTTATTTAACTTTGCCAATAAACATTAAAACACAGAAAAAACATATATGGACAATGGCAGGGAACACGCTACAGCTTACGCCAATTACAGCGGCCCTTACATATAAGATACGACATCACAAACATTAAACTATTGTCTAATAACAACACGATACTTCACAGGACAGATTACGGGACTTGTTACAGGACAAACATATTGATTTCCATGTTCTTGGATCATCCACGTCGTAGACAGTTTGTAATGCTACTTTATAGTACATGAAAAGTCCATTTTTTAACTGACTAAGGCTGGTGTTATTGCCTGTCAAGTTCTTTGGCAGTACATTCCACATTCTGGTACATCTATTTAAATAGGACTTTTGGAATGTGGTTGTCTTGCAATATGTATTGGATCAACTTGAGAAGGTTTAAGGGTGTTTAGGTTTGCCATTTTATTTCTACGCCAGGAAAGAACTACCTCATATGCATAACGTTGTTTGTTGTTCAATGATCTTACAGTTTTTCGTAGATTGTCGTCACTGATGGGTCGATTATAAGAACTTATTCCAGAAGATGGTTGAACTGATTCAGGATTTGATGCAAGATTTTGTGGCAACGACTCGTTAAAAGACTCGGTTTCATCAGAATCGTCAGGTAAACTTTGTCGCAAATATTCATTTTCCTGCTGATTAATTGGATCGTAGGAGTGAGTTGGTACACCATCCTTTCGTAAAGTTTCTAGTGCTTTATTAATAGCATCACCATCTGGCTCAAATATTTCTTTGTTGCGTTTTACTACTTCTTGAACATCTGGCTCATAAAACTTAGATATGTATGTCTGATCTTCGCCAAAGAGTTTCTGATCATTACGTCACGGAAAATACAACATGAGAAGGTGGTGAAAATATTTTTCAGGCTCTTTTCTTTCGTTTGGAGTGTGATATCGAATGAGCTTTAATTCTTCGGCACTTCATAATTTCTTTGCTGTTTACAAGTTTTATTCGATCGGGAAGTCCAGTGTTATGATTTTCGATATTTTGAGATTCCATGAAGTCATCGTTTAACACTTCAGGTTGAGAATCAGATACTTCGTTAAAATCACTTTTGTAATCTTTGAAATAGTGAGCAGCAAATAAAGCTAAGCACATATCTTTAATGACAGGAATGTTTTTCGGTCTGTCACTGTAACGGACAATAATGTTAGACTTAAAAATGTCGGTACTATCATCATCTAACTCATCAAGTTCTTGTTGTTTCTTCGCAAATCTAACGCGATTTTCAGCAAAATCTGTGCTAACAAAGAGAGTTTTCGGGAATATTTTTCTTAACCAGAGTTCTGGCATACACCTGTAAACGCATTCTTGAGCACTGACTTCACGAGTCGAGAGAAAAGCTGCACATATTGACTTAAGCCATCTCTGACATTTACGTTGGCTTCTTTAGCCTCCTTTGCTGCATTTATGATGGCTTGAGAACATTCAGTTTCATCCTTTATAAAGTAAGAACAAACGTATGTGATACACTTATAATGATTTTTAAACACTGGTTGCAAGTCGACATTTGCGGCAAATCCTTTTAACCCGGCAATAAAGTAATTGTTGATAAAACAACTGTTTATTGGTCTTTTGAGGTGCAATTCATAGTCAGAGTCTGGAGATAATGATATAGCCCATTGATAGTCTTGCTCTGTAATATCTATATCATTTAGGATGTCAGTTGGAGTTGCAAATGGATAGTAGGTTTGCTTGGGTTTAGCACAACATCAATTTTTTGTTTAACTTTAGACAAAATTTCCTTTCGTCTGGTCAGAATATTGGATTTAATCTCCTCATCCATATCTTCTGCCAAAGGTTCAGCAACAATTGTTTTGTCAGTAAAAAACTGTCCAAAACTAAATGTACATGAAACGTTCTTATACTTTCTACAGGTTTTACTGTGATCATGTGTCTGGTATGTTTTCACCAAGTCAAAAAGTTAAGGATCTGTTTCTTTGTCTGGGAGGTATGCTTGCACATGTTGGTGAATGTAATCTATGTATGCGTCTTTTGTATCATTCGCTAACTCTGGACAATCAGATGTCCATATTAAGGCATGCAATTGTGGTGAACCTCTCATTTGAAATTCAATACGGAGTGCATAATATACTATATTGCCAATTGGATTTGCATTTGTAAGCAAAAGATCTCTCGACAAATCATCTCTCTCTCGAACAATGTTTTGACTCGATACTGGAAATGTTTAGCTACCATAACTGGATTTAAATTTAACATTGAGCATCGCTCATGATAGGACAAGGCATCCACTTCTTCATCTGTCATGTTGTTTCCTTTCGTTTTTGCAATTATCTGAAGTCATCTTAAGTCTGCACATGAAAGCGTCATAAACCATGTTGGTATTCCCAGTTGTTTAACCATTGCCACCACTTCATACATGAATTTTTGCCAGTAAGGAGGTGAGCCAGGAATTTGTTGTAAAAACAAATATGCTTGATCTTGCAAAAGAAGATTTTGAAAATCTTGACTGTTTGATTTTACTTGTGATGCAGTGACTAACTGCCCATGTATTTTTTTAAGAGCTATATTTATACTATCAGAGATCTTTTTCTGTTCCATAATGAATTGTGCAAAGAATAGATACTCTGGATTGGTTGGAAATTTCCCACTATAATGCAAGAGGCGAGCATTGAAATATTTTATTGGAGATAATTTTATGTCTCGTTCAAAGTTATACCCAAATCGTCCTTTTGGAAAGAGTACTGGAAGTGAAAGTTCCGATCCTCACAAAGTTTATCAGTCATCAATGATACTGGGTGTTTACCTTCACCTGGTGCAATGTTGAAAATTTCTCTACCTGTTGAATTATCACAGTTTCTATTGTCCACGTTTACAGGATAATCTGGCAAGATGGACTGAAGACAGGTTTCAGTTGCAGCTGAACGGTGTTCATTTAATGGATCATCTTGTTCTTCAGTATCTTCATTAAGAAGTTCTCTATTTATATTAGTTTGCAAATGCTCGTCTACATTTTCTTGATTTGTAACAGGACAGTTCAAATTAGTCAACTCTGGGCTGATGTTGTCACATTGAATTTCAATGTTTCTATATAACGGATTGTTTGCTATAAGCCAGTTTAATGCATTAATTACAAACTGAGGGCGAACTGCTTGAAACTAAACATGACCTCTAAATTGAAGTTTCCTTTTCAATTTAAGTAAAATTATCCCAGAACTGTCAGGTAGTCTGGGAAGAACATTACATGTTTGACTACATTCAACACCAACATTACATATTGCACCTTTAATTTTTCTTTGTTGTCCTTTCGGCATTATTACAATTTTTTCGAAGACTATTCTCTGTGCAATAAGAATTTGTTCAAGTTTCTCTAATGCAGCAAGTTCAGTAGGGGTTTCATCAACAAATAAATTGTTTACGACAGCTTGACAAGGCTGATGACCTTTAAGTAATTTAGCATGTCATGTTTTGCAGATGTAGTTTTTGTCATCAAAAGAACACTGAAGCATAAAACAATCCTGGCGAGGGTACTTATTTTTCTGTAAGATTACTACTGACTTCTTATATAGTGTCCGGTTACACACGCAGCATATATAAAATGGGCCAGATTTAATTTGTTTTTTAAATTTTGCAATGTACATGTCAATGTCATGAGCTAGAGATTTCTTTCGATCCGTTTTTCTTTCTCTCTATTCAGCAAATTATTTTTTTGTTTTGGATCCAATGACATTCGATTCGACATGATTGTACTTGAACTCATAGCACTCATCTTCTTTTTCTTTGATATATCCATTGCTTGATATTTGGCTCTGGTTTCTCTAATAGTTTCTGTTTTTGTTCTTCACTCATTGTTTCCTTATAATTCATATTTTTAGTAAGCAGTTCCTCTTTCTTTGATTGATCCATTGCTTCATATTTTATTCTTCTATTCTCCAGTGTTTTTTGTTTTTGTTCTTTGCTCATTGTTTTTCTATAATTCATATTTTTACCTAAGCAGTTCCTCTCTCTTTGATTGATCCATTGCATCATATTTTATTCTTTTATTATCCAATATTTTTTGCTTTTGTTCTTTACTCATTGTTTCCTTATAATTCATATTTTTAGTAAGCAGTTCCTCTTTCTTTGATTGATCCATTTCTTCATATTTTATTCTTTTATTCTCCAGTATTTTTTGCTTTTGTCCTTTATTCATTGTTTTTATGTGATTCATATTTTTCGTAAGCAGTTCCTGTTTCTTTGATTTATCTAACATTTCATATTTTGTTTTTCTGTTGTGCAATATTTTTTTTCTCCTTAGCCATAATTTTGTGATCATTTACATGTTTAGAGTTAACTTGTTGTTTTACTAATCGCTCCATTGTTTTGTATTTCGTTTGCTTTGTTTTGTTTCTAGCTTCCGTTTCTTTAGACCTGGTTCAATGAAGTTATTTGAATAGTTTTGTCTGTGGTTTTTCATAATCCTTTTTCTTTCACAGTTAGTCAATTCAGAAGAACAAGACAAAAATAGAATTTCATAATTGACAATTTCATTCTTGATTTTGGTGGTTGCTAAGTTAAACAGAGTATCGACTAAAGTATGCTTGTTGTTTATGTTTTTAATGTAATGTGCAGTACATGTAGGTGAGCTATCATCATCATCATATGCTAATATTGAGTATGACATATTCTTAATTGATGTTTTTTGAAAGATGCAAGAACTACAATAATCTCCAAACCAAATTAAAAACCCTGTGTTTTCATTAGTATGACAATAAGGCTTTCGATGCGTAGTTTGCTTTCTGCCTTGTCATAAACTACTCCTTGAATATTAGCTTGCGATTTTACATGTATTTCAGTTCCACATATTTCAACTTTTTGAGGTATATCACTAGATGCATTTATGCCAGTGTTATTATACAAAGTAGTGCCAAAGTAAACTACTGCAGCCACTGTATTCGAATCCCGGTAATTACAAGGTTTAATAACAGAATAACAAATTGAGTATAATGAAATTGCACAGCATTGTCTACATAAACAAGAAACATCAGTAGTTTTAGATTCTTCTGAGGCATTACCTGATAGGGCAGATCATTCTAATGCTGTTGTTTAAGTTCTGGTCACCATCGGCTTGTACTTCTTCAATATTTATTCCTCTTAGCTCAAATTGACTGTTTTCACTGTATCAAGACTGAAAATACAGAATTACATTGTTGATATTCGGTGCCTCCAACAACACGCATGTACCTTGTGGATGACTTCTGCCATAAATATCTCTTGAATTAGAGTAAAAAAAATTTATATTTGCCATCATTGGTGGAAAATATGCAAACAGCATTGGAGTCAATTGTTAAAATGAATGCAGAATAGTTTTCAGCCAGGAGTAATTCAAATGATCTGTGAAATGGAACACAGTCCTGAAACCCTTCAATAGAACAGTCTCCAATTACATTGCCACTATAGCTTTCACTGTACTCAAAAATATAATCTGTGTCAAATACTGTAAGTTGTGAAGGAAATTCTGTAAACAATAGAAATGACTGCCGTGCTAAACATGATAAGTTTGAATATAGTTCATTACCAATATTCATTACATTAGCCAGGTCTTGTGGTGAGCATATGTTCGGTCTTTTGTTGTATACAAGAGCACATAAACATATTGCTAAACACTGCTGTCTTGCTGTTTCCCGAAATATAATCTGATTACCTTGGCTATACGGTGCACTTATTGTCTTGCTGGGTCAATATAAAATACAGGTCCCGGATTTGTCTCAATATCTGTACATAATGCTGACTGACAGACATTCTTTAAGTGGTTGACATTTTTGTATACCTGTTGTGCATATAAATCATGAGTTGAACCTGATAAATAGAATATATCTGCAAGAATTCCTTCACAAATATAAAATTTTAAATCTTTTGCTGAACGGTTTGTCCGGCATTTCTTGTCAACCTTCTTCGGGCAGTAAACATCAGGGATACACTTCATTCTAATGCCTTGACAATGCATAATATTCTCTACTATATAATGAAGATGAGAGGATATGGGTACAGACCTTTTGATCTTATGTCTGAGACGTTTTCGGAACAATCGACTTTTTCCAAACTTCCTAGTTAACCATTTCACCTGTATTCTACTGGGTTCACGGTCACGGTGACGTAAATGGCAACCAGTGGTAGTAAAGTCACTAACATGCTTTTGTGTGCAGACATTATAAATAATGCAAGCCGTGGTCGAACTGGGAGTTTCTTTAGGTAGTGTTTTGACGGACCTGTTATTTCAATATTCTGGTTATTCAATTTAGAAATACAGTTGCGGCAACTTGATTGTGAGTTTACGTTTGTTTTTTGTATATTTGTCTGTGTATTATTCGTCATTTCAGTAATACTTTTGATTTCAGTGGTACTTTTGATTTCAGTGGTACTTTTGATTTCAGTGGTACTTTTGATTTCAGTGGTACTTTTGATTTCAGTGGTACTTTTGATTTCAGTAATACTTTTGTCACATTTTTGGCAACTTTTTGTATAACATTTTTGGCAATCTCTGGTATTGATATTTGTGGATTCGTGGATAATCGACCCGGTTCGAAATCGCTCAGCATCTTTTAGTGTAGGTCTACCACGAATAGGTGCAGAGTCATGCGAGGTGAGCGTATTTGAAATTAAATCACATTCACTTACCGTAAACATCGTTGAAAAGATCGTTTTCTTTCCAAAATATATTAGGGCAGCGCATGCAAACTATATGTCGCTACAAGTATGAGCACAGATGAGCACAGAGGATAGATCACTGATAGATCAGTATCTTGCCAAACAGTGCTTCCATTTGCAATGCAAGAAAATTTCCTTGCAAAAGGAAATTTTGGCCTTTGCAAACCTTTGCAAAAATGGCGCGCCATGATTCGTCATAAAAATGAGAGGTATGCCCCCCTGGACGTCTGCCGTTTTGGATATTATCAGGGGGTGAATGCCTTTCATAAGCGCACTGGCTAGGCTGGGACCCATGGTAGCCTGGAACCATGAAGGAACCATGGCATCAGCATTTTGATGGCAAAATCTTTGGAAAATCATAGGAAAAACCAAATCGGGCTTCTGTGTAGCCTGTCCTGTGACTTGGTCGTTCGTACTTGATTGTTCGCAGCCCCGTAAAACAACGCTGAGAGTGCGTGTGTAGTACAGACACTTAGCTGAAAGTGTCAAGGGAGGGGAAAGCAGAGGAAGCACCTTGTGACCGAAAGTGTAGCCTGGTTACAGGGCGGACCATTTGATTCTTGGTGGGTGGGTGTGGGGAGGTAGTAGATTTTCATTCAGCCCGATAACATTTGTTAAGCTGCATGATTTTTTGCTTTGTGGGGACATATAAAATATGTACTGCTCCATATTGGGCTGAAAATTCCCCCCAAAAAAATACGTGCAAAGAAAAATGCCTGGGAAAAAAATTCGCGCAGGCATTACGTCAGAGAAAAATAAATTCGTGCAAGCAAACAGCAAAGCGCAAATAGTCTTGAAAAAAAATTCTTACAGAGGTAAGAAATGTATTAAAAAACATCCTGCAGAGACACGAGACTGAAAAAAATCGTGCCGCAAAAATTTTATTCCCCCCCCCCCTCTCTCGGGATTTCTAATGTCCGCCCCTAAGTAGGGCACCAATCAAATTACACTACATGTAAGAATGTCATTCATAGATAGAACGACGTCGACGCATGTGATATAAATATAAAATATTTGTGTTTCAGAAGCCGCGCCCTTTTGTGCGCTGATGCGATATTGAGGAAGACAAACACAGTACTGTAATAAGACCAGTACCAAAACATGGCTAGCGTAAGCCAGTTTGTTTTAAAGTTTCCAATTTAATTTTTACGAGTTATTTTTAATTTCCTATGTTTCTTTTCACAATTTTTATCGCAGTCAAACATAGTGAAATATGTTAGGGCTGTTCTCAAACGAACCCAAGATTGTTTAAATTAATACGCCAAGAAAACGTTCTTTATTGTTTCTTTGGCAATTATTTATAGCACAGATTTCCAATTTCGTAAATTTTTCGTAATAAACCTTGTGATTTTATTCAGAAGATTTGAAAAATAAGAAGTTAAACCAAATATAAGTATATAATGTGATGCCATTTATAGTAGAGTGAGCTTAAGCAAGCGACGTTTTTGTCAACACACACGTCACCCGAAAATTAGTATAACTAATTTTGGCGATATTTTACACCATAGCGCTCGTGTAAGGAAGCAAAAAACTTTAAAACTCTTATGTTTTGTGTTGAAGATTACCACAAACTGACAAAAAGACAGTTTTTAATAGAGTCCCCCGTCGGCAACCTCACCTCTGTGTTGAGAAAAACGTCGGTTATTGTGTCCGTTTGAACACCATCTTTTTATACTACAAGAATTGATTTTGTTTCCAACAAAAGGCTAAAGATAATTAATGTTTAAATTAAACAATTTTGGCAGTATAATCCGCATTTTTTTTGTTTATGAAGACGAAATAAGCTGTACTTCACAGGATAAACATAGCTGTGACAGTTGAAGTTTGTGGACGTGGGCGTATAATTAAGGTTACTTCACACGATGAACGTGCGTTTTAGTCTATTGGACATTGCGGAACAAATTTTAGGTGTAACTTTACCAAATTTTCAGTGAAGAAAGCCAAGAAAATACTGATTAGTGCTTTCGAAGATTTTTATTTGATAGGTGTTCAGTCTAAACATTTTCAGTATTGGCTGACTGAATAAATATATAGATTATAGGTACCTTCATAAAAAAACAAATATGTTCATAGTTTACCTCAACGTTTGTCTAGATATCGAAATTCGAATCTTCATAGGCACGGTAAAAAAATTTCAATCTTCCCATCACACCATGCACGCTCACTTTTATTCAGGAAATTTAATGTAAGTTATTTGTAAATACTTAAGGAGGCTCTGCGGAGGAGAACGACTAATTTCCCATTTTCTTTATTTTATCTAGTTGGCACAGTCAAATATTTACACAATTTTGGATTTGAAAACATTCAATGATGCTACTATTACATCTCCACGAAAGATGAACAAAACAATGACATGTGCAGTCTTAACTAAGAGTAACTTAAGGGAAACGAAAAGAGGAACAATGTTTACCATGACATTGTGCGATAGAGAAACAACATCCACCATCCGGGCTGTTTGTTTTGAAGGAAGCATGTTCAATAAATTTGCAACCACCAAAACATATGTTTGAAATATTTTAAGTTAAAGAAAGGAATGGGTAATTACAGTGACTTGGAGGTATTAATCACACCTGAAACAAAAGTTACTGAGTCTATCTTTGAGTTCACCATAGAAAAAAAGTCATTCAAAATATGCCAAATTCTTCGTCGCGAAGCTTCTAATGCGAGGTTTTTAATCATTACTGCTAAAGTTATCTTGATTGAAGATATTCAGACTGTTGGCAAATATCCAGATGAAAAACGTAAGAGAGATGTGCTATTGGCTGACGAAATCGGTTAGATTGCATTGGTATTGTGGCGTCAGAGAGCAGAAACAATTGAATTCAAAAGAAGGGGATCGGATGTCATAGACATTGAAAACGCTGTTACCTCCTCATTCAACAACACAGTTACCCTGAGCGCAACTGGAGAAACAATGATTAGTGTGAGCGAGAAAACTACTGACATTGATTTACCTGCTAGTGTAGGTTCACCAAGTAAGAAGAATTCTACAGTCACTTGTATAGAAACAACTGTTTCTGCTTTCAAGGACTTCAAATGCCAGTATCGATGTATAAATTGCCATGGTGATGTGCATGGCAAACATTCTACAGTGGCTAGTGATGGCACAGTTATTGTAAGCTGTCCTACTTGCCCAACTACGTTTTTGCAAGAATGTGCAAAAATAAAGAACGAATGCCAGATAATGTTGTCTTCCAACCAGCAATGGTTTACTGCAGGCACTGGAGTAAGTCTTATAAACTATTCTTTTAACCACGCAATGTGCATTAGAGGGAATTTCAATTGCTTAAAACAAGACTGCATTAATGCACGGTTAAATTAGCCTGCATAGCAGGCGCTCAATTTTATTGAAGCTTTTGAGGATTTTATTAATAAATGGCGGATTAGAAAAAAATGACGAGAAAAAATGGGCGAACGATTTATTCTTCGTTCATTTCAAAAATCCTCAAAACCTTCAACAAAATAAAATGACTGCCACACAGGCTAAGTTTAAATAAAAAAGGAAAACTGATCTGTAAATTTTCTTCAAGACTTTATGAACATTTTTAAGGATATTGCAGTTTTGCAAAGTCTAAACATTGACAAAATAGTTATTGTTTTATCACCAATTTTGTGAATATAATTTTCAAAAGAATTTCTGCAAAATTATTTTTTCCAAAAATAAAATACACCAAAAAATAAATACACCAAAATATTCAAAAATACATCAAATTGCAAAATTGTGATCTGGTAATTGCACCCCTGCAATATGAGACGGCCTAGTTTTGTGCTATATATTACTTTAAATCATCACTTATGAAAAATTCCTTGATGATTCAAATTCCTATAAGAATTTGTATATAGGAATTCCTGTAGGAATTTGTATAGGAATAGTGCAAAATTGGTACAGGAAATCCTGTAGGGATACCTGAAGGCCTTACATTCTTCAAGTACATATTAATTACTTTCCAAACTAATGAACAGTTAAAATTGTAGTCTAGTGACTAGCAATTTCGTTCCAATCAGAGTTAAACACTTGGTACTGTATTGCTAAATTGTTTATGTTTTCATTGTTTTGTTTACTACAACAAACATTTTTTGTTTATGTTTTCCTATGTTTTGTAGCTGGTTCAACATATGTTGGACTGAGATGTACCAAAGAAGGAGCTGAATGAACAGGATGTTCTCACTTTGTTAACATCGAAATTTGCGATGAGTTTGAACGTGGAACGAAAGAGAATAGAGCATGTTACTCTTGTACCAATAGACACTGAAGAACCTCAGAATAAGAAGCCTAAGCAAGACTTCCAAAATACTGGCCTACAAGATATTTCCCCCCAAAACACCAGACCTCAAGTGAACTAAGCCCAAGCAACCAGCCCTCAAATCACCCTTCCCAAAAACGTCAGCCTTCATGATATCCAACCTCGCACAAGTAGCCTACACGTCACCCACCCCCAAAACACCAGCATGGAGATCACTGTCCCCAAAACACCAGCCTGCATGAGCCCAATCCCCAAAATACATTGGTGCAAGTTACTCTGCCCCAAACCACCAATGTGCATGTTATCAACCTCCCATCTACCAGCATGCAGGGTTTCCCACCTACAGACACCAGCCTTCAAACTGCCCACCCCAGGATACCACCAACATGCAAGATAATACAGAATCATGGGATACAGAATTAACAGGCTTTGAGAAAATGATTCTTGATTTTGGTGGTACATTGGAATAACAGATTATTCCGAACAATTAAATGAAAACATTACGTTGACATATTATTGATATTTATATTTTTATCTATTTCACTAACAGTAATTTCGTAAACATATCTTTTTCTAGTTCTAAGCAAGATTATGAGTTTACTACTGATTCATACTTTTTAAAACATTTTGGGTATTCTCTCAGTATAGGAGTTGGTGGTTCATATTTTTGGAAACATATCATAGTGATCTGTTTAACAGTAATTTGGGGTAATTGTATTTACTAATTATACCTAAAAGTGAAATACCTAATTATTAGGTATTTCTATCTTAGATATTTTTAGGTATTTCTAGTATTTTTAGTGCCTAAGCTAGTGGCTTTTCATATTTTTTGTATCTTAGAGTATATTCATATTTTTGACAACAGATTAAATAAAGGGCATGTACCATACTTCTTACCATTTTATTGAGCTTCAGACTTATTGAGTGGGAGCACTGTCACCCTGACGAGTACAATCGTCTGGTGTTAGACACTCTGAGTAAAAGAATAAAGTAGGGCGCATTAATTAGAGGGTCAACGGAGTGCAAGGGCAGATAGTCTCATTAATTTAACCCATTGAGTGCCAACACTCTCCTGTGACAAGTAAAATCGTCTGGCATTATGGGTGCATTGCCATTTAATTAAAGGGTTAATGCAGTGACCGGGATTCCAACAGCTCAGATGATTGACAATAATTACACCAATTGCAACTTGATTAAATGTATACATTATATGCATATTACACTGTATGCTAAGGCCATGCAGGGCTTAGACTCATAGGTGTACCATGGAACCCTGAAGTGTTATGCTAGCTGTCTGACTAATTACCCTACATGTGAATAATAAACAATTTTCTATTTAATTTCATAGTAAAACAATAATTAAAAAGAATAGCAGAATGGCAATTAAATTTCTTTTATAGCCACCATTTCTAAGTGCATGTACTTGGTTTTTGGGAAGTCCAATCTCAAAACTATATATGCTCTCATATTTTAGAATCTGGTGTTTAGTAATGCATTTGGCATCCGTAAGTACAATTTCTTACGCTGAATCGAACGGTGGTATTTTTATCCTTATTGTGCCATTAATAGGCATTTATACAAATACAATATCATATTTCACACTGTCACTGAGTACACTGCAGTTTTCATGGACTGTTGTTCGATAAAATTCATATCGATATGACACCAATATGCTTCTCATAAAGTAGTTATTTATTAAAACTACGTTGTGCAGTTTACATTATAACCTTTTACCTTGAAATTATCTTTGGCTCGTTTATATTCAGATTCAGTATATTATGATCGTGCACGGGAATTCCACGATCCAAATTTCGCATTTTCAGAGCCGTGCACCAAGAAAAACGCATTAAATAAACTAGCAGGAATGTCCACAGTTACACACAATCCAAAATCCATAGAAAACAGGTACAATTGGTTCAAAATTTTCACGAAATTGTTGAAAACATTTTGCTCACTCCACGAAAGTCCCCGTCATTTTGAAGGCTCAAGCAGCTCATTAATATTCTATTTTGTAGCTATCCACGAAGAATGAAGATCCACTATTGCCGATCCACTATTGCCGATCCGTGAAAATGCAAGCCAAAACCTATAGTGGTCTGGGGCACAGGGTGCCCCAGCGAGTAATAAAGGCAGTCTTCTCTACTCCCAAATGGCCACAAGGCAACGTTGAGGTAGAACGCTTCATGCAACCCTTGGGAAAATCCCTGACAGCTTCTAATCTTTACGGTCGTGCGTGGAAAGACGATCGACAAGGAATGTCAAGCAACCAGCAACACATAGGTCAGGGGGCAGATCATTAATGAGGTATGGACTAATAGCGACTGCTTAAAGTGTCATTTGTAAGCTCACAGTCTTCCTCGGTCTGCTTCACGCCAGTTCCGGTTCTAATGTAACAAGTCACTGTAATACCCTGAAAGGGAGTGTGCTGTGCAATATGTGTATATATCTGTCTGTCTAAATGATTGGTGGTATAAAATGTCCAAATTTATACCACCAAGCACTTTTCCAAAATTCAAATGCTAAAATATAGGCAAGTTTGGGCCAACATGTTTAAAGGTAGGTTACAGTCCCTTCTGCGCATGTCTGCGATTTTTTTTGCCTGGGGACTCCACCGGAAGTTGGGCAATTCGGTTTGTACTCGGGCAAGTCTCATTTCTCATTTCATAACACGCGTGTTGTTTTTTTTTTTCACAAGCGAAGGAGTGAAGCCAGAAGTTTCCAAAATATATTGAGCTTTTTTGAGCAACAATTCGTCAAATAACGAGTTTTTGAGGCAACATGAAGAGTAGGAAAGAATACCACGCTAGCAGGGATGCTTCCAAAGTGTATCAAAGTGTATCTATTTTATTGTTTTCCTTGATGGAGAGCGTGCCATTTCTGTCTGCGTTTCCCCATGATTATACACTATTGTTACATACGAACTGTTCTATCTCTTTTATTTATAAACTGAAACCCATATAATTAAGGCTTAAGATATGATACTCGTGAGTAGGAGTTGTCAATGAAAAAGTTTTAATCAGCAATTTGGAGTCAACATGTTTTGGACGGCTGTTTATATATTATTGTCAGAGTGATGAATGATATAAATTAATCTACTTGACCGTGCTTTACTGTCTTTGACTGTCTTCTCATGGACAACTTGTGCTCACTTAATAGAAACACATAAAAAGTTTCTCTGATCAAAGTGTATTTTAATCAAAGCACAGCCCTCCAAAACGAGGTCAGCATTCGGCAATGCCGACCTAAATGCCGACCTATCAACCTCCCAGGTCGGCAAATTTTTGTTAATTCAGCAAACGTTAATTCAGCAAAAGTAAGCAATTTTTGGTGCTGATAGCTGTTAAAAAGTCAACGATTATAAGATTTGATTCGTAGTTCGATTAACTATATAAACACACTTTGGTGCAAGGTTTAAAAATTGACGTTTAAAAATTAAATTAAAGGTAGGTTACAGTCTCTTCTGCGCATGCGCGGGCTTTGTTTAAGTTTTTTGTTTTGATCCACATTAATTATATAAGATGAAATATATGACGAGTTCAAAGTAACATTCCACATAATTTGTGACCGAGGAGTGCAATGTTTGACAATACTTCGCTGCATTTCTTGTCCATTTCTACACTGGAAATTTTTGTACACAATAACACAATCTTATAATGTAACTTTTTAACTGTAAACATCGTGAATAAAGTTATAAAGAGGCCGCTTTGAACCTTGTGTGACTTGCTATATCAACAGCTGGGGCGGCGAACCAAAATCCCGAAGGTGTGAGTTCGAATAATTTGTGTTTACCTTTGGAGTTTCTGTCTCATCATGAAAATAGTTAATGCGGTATCAATCCCTCGAAACATGTTGCCAGTGTTGTTGTTGTCATTATGACAGAAGCGCTTGAGGAAAGCTTTTCGCTTGACGAAATTCGAAACAAGTGTGATTGAGAATGTGGCTGCAGTTCCTGTCTTCGTGGCAAAGCCAAGGGCAAGGGCGAAATTTTTGACAGTGCAAAAGCTGAATACTGCAGCTGTTGTTCAATCTGGTGTGCGCTATGGAGATGATTTCGGATGCTGTTACTAAACAACAGAAGAGTTCAATAGATTGACAGTGACGAGAGTACGAGACGCTAAGATTATATTCAACTTTTTGTTTATAAAAATGTATGTTTTGAAATTATGAACTGGAAGTATGAATTCATTGATATTACTCTCATATTGAGACTAAATGATGATATTCTTGTGACACTAAATGATCTAAATAGTAATATTAACTTCAACAATTCTGGTCAATCTAGTGATCACGTTTAATAATTCATCATGTCTCTTCAAGACAGAGGACAATTGCTAAATATATGCTTGTTCCGCTCTATATCAGAGCTCATCAGAATGCTCAGGAAACACTGATGAAATTTTTATTTACATCAACGAATCTTTCTTTTTCTTGACAGATTTTTTGGGTTATATGATAATACAAATAAGTTATAAACAATTATTATTAACACACATATATCCAAGGGGATAGGCATGAATATGATCGATCAAGGGCTTATGCCCCCTGAAAATACTGAATATACTAAATATAATTACAGTTTGTGACATGAACAGTCAGGTATAAGCACCATTCACATAAGAACCTGCAGTTTAGGCTAACTTGGAAAAAATCTAGGTTCTTATTATATGTAGGATTTTACGGTGTTGTCTGATTTCATGTCACAAAACAGGTCATGGCAGCTTGTTCTGACAAAATATATATATATATGGGATGGTGCCACTCTTTGTGACACAAGATCAGGCAATTATAGTACAATATGAACTGGCTTGTGTTTAAGATTGCTCTGTGTAAGAGGCAATCCATCTAGGAGAAAGAAAGCTCAAATTTTAAACCCCCAGACCCCAC